TGTGAAGTTACCGAAAGCATAGCTGGCGTTGTGGCGGCCATTCTTTGCTACGGCGAGGATAGAAACGATGATTGCGAGGACGCCGGCGAATGTCCAGAAGATGGCAAATGTCTAGGATAAGGTCAGTATACATTAACGACCGTGGAGAATGAACAAGTAAGGATGAGAGAGTGCGGGTGGCAGGTTGCTTCGGGAGAAGGTCGCTTAGGGAAAGCACGTACGTCCAGCATCGGCAGCCACTTGTTTCCGAGTGCGGAAATCGCGTTGCACAGTAACGTGATTGCCACAAAGAGCAGCCATGTTTGCCAGGTGGTCGCAGTCCAGATTCCTACACCTGCATCGTCCGTGAAGATGTTGACACAGCCGATGATGAACAGAGTTGTGCCAAAGTTGACGGATAGGGTGATTGTGATGTTGCCAAGGGTGTAAGCCCAACCACAGATCCAGGCAGTGATGTTACGACACCACGCTGGACTCAGCATATACGTCTGGTAGTAGACGCCTCCAGCTGTAGGGTAGACAGAAGTGATTTCGCCTAGGGAGACAGCAACGCAGATAATGATAAGGCAGACAGCAACCCAGCCCCAGATGACAGCAACTGGACCACCGCCGATAAGCGGGTAGTACAATGTCGTCGCTAGACCATAGGGCACAGAAGCCAAAACGAAGGACATGAATGCGACTTGCCATGTTGATCTGGACCGGGTCAACTCAGATTGATATCCCAGTACAGCCAGCATGTCGTCGGCTGAGGCGCGTCTAGGTCCGCCATCCTCACCGTTGCTGCCGAAATCTCCTAAGGCTTTGCCGCTGAAGGGCTGGTCCTTGGATATCTTGCGTTCGTAAGCCATGTTGTATGTACTTGTCTTATCAAGTAGGGCGCATGCGGCAGGTAGATCTAGCAGTGGTATATCTTCTCTCACAGACGAAAGATTGGAGTTGGTCGACGAACTCTGGTCGCGAACAGGAATTGTTGCTTTGGCTGTTGTTCGCACCTGCTTCTATTGTCGCTCTTGGCTGGTTGCTGCGAAGAAATGACTGAGCACGATTCTCCGTTCTTGCTTTGGGTGGTGATTGCGCTGGGCCGAAACTTTGATCGATACTGCTGTTGCAGGTGCTTTTGGATGTAGATGCGGACTACACGGTTATCGTCAAACGGAGCGGCAAAGGAACCTGAGAGCGAAGGCTTGAGAAGAATCGATTGTTCCTGAGGTTACAGACCAGACGAACAGAGTCGGAAACTGGGTTGCTAGAGTAGTTCTGCGGCAGATTCGAGCATATATACAATAAGCAATATGCGCAAACCCTTCAGCCAATGAATCTTTATCGACCTCATCCATGAGCACCGATTGCCATCCCAGCCCACTGCAGGCCCTAAAAGATGAGTTCTCCCCCTATACGGGTCGGCTTGGAAGCTGGTGTGTTTGATTCGTTCCCACCTCACGTGGATTCAAGCGGAACACGCGAAAGAGATGAGCTTGTGGTGACGTGAAGGTGACTAGCACGGCTCTAACACCTTAATTGAGCTCAAGTCTCCTTGGCGGCACGATTGAGAGGTGCGAGCTCCATCGCAGTAGGAACCTAAGAGCGAGCTAAATCTGCAAGCTGCCGCGAATATGACGAGCCGAGAAGTTCCCTTGTGGTAGGCCCTGCCGTTTGCAGTCTGCGATGGAGTACTTATCTCATGCTCATTTTCCAGAAAGAACGCATCTGCAACCTTGACAAGCGAGCTGAAACCGCCTTGGGCTTCGATGCATTCTGGTTATTGTGCCGCCGAGATAAGGTTCGTCAATCTGGAATTGAAGAGCGATACCGGTTCAGAGTTGTCGCGAGCGCTACGGCAATGAATAGCGTTGACTCGAAGGCTATCAGTCGTGATTGTTCAGAAAAGACTTCGCCTGTGTTATGTCATGATGGCATGTGTCTGGAAGCCTTCGTGATCCGCTCGACGGAGCTCGAATGCAAGAAGTAGCGAGCACCCTGATTTCATATACTTTACCGTGAAAAGTGAACTATGCTCTATTGTTACAATAACCGTCGATGGATTATTCCGAGACCACGCCACGTCACCACAGATGATGTGCCTGCTACCATTCCTTTCGCTGTGTGCGTAGACTGTAAGTGTGAAGGCACAGACCTGATCTCTGTTTGTGCTCCGCCATGGAAATTCCAGAAGCCCCGTTATGAAAAGTTAGTTCTACTCCATAACATAGCTGCGTTTTGGAAATTTGCAAGATACAGTTTCGCAGGACGGTCCTTAACAAATGCCGTAAAGAAGCCACAAGGCTGCATTCACAAACGCTAGCAGCCCACGGCAGATTGTGACATGAAAGGGACCGGCGTTTGCTCGCGAAACATCAGCGTACAGCAGCACCTGCCGGCACATCAACGTGACCCGAGTTAGACAACGGCGCACCGTCGATGGGGACCATTATGCTCCCAAGATACGGGAATCTGAGGCTTCCGGAGCATATTGTAGGTCCTGAGTCGAGCTGGAGCCGATAACAATGCTCCTCTAGCGATCGCTTTTTCGGAGATACTGGCGTGGCCGCAGGTTCAATTCCAACGGCCAGTTTGATATCCCGCCTCGAGAGCAGCTACATAAAATTGTAGACTAGAGGCAAAGCCTTAGTAATACTTGTACAGCAAGTCAGGCACGTCCTAACCCTAGCTACGCTCGCTGTTCCGTAATCCATGGCCAATGACGGGTACCTGGCCCGTTACGCTCAACATCTGTCCCTGCAGGAACACCAGCACCTCGCACTTCAATGTCGCCCCGGTTCTTGGTTTCCCCCTGAGCCGTGCGTGGTCTCATAAACCCGCCCTCCTCTCTGTCTTCACCCTTCTCAGGCCACAGGATGTGCTTCAACATGATTGCCCTGATCATCATAGTGACCACGAAGAACCATAAGGCAACCAGCAACCCCGTCATGACACACCCCAGGAAGTTTAGCGCATGGATCTCAAAAGCCTCCGCTACTCTAAACGTGGCGGTAGTCAACGCCGTTTGTGGGAATATGTACGAATACCATGTCATGGCGAAAGGTATTCTCTGGACCTGCACCACATGCGTATGTTCGCGACCATCTTCGCTCTTGCCTTCAACGCTGACCTTCTGTCGCTTGTGCGTGTAAAGCGGCGCGATATTGCTGATGACTGAAACGAAGAAGAACCAAATAGCCAGTCCCCATAGCCAGAGGCTGCACCAGTTGGCGACGATGCGAAGGATGTTTGCGGCAAGGTCAGCGGGCACGTCCATGAACATTTGTGTGGTTGTATCGCTCCCCCGGACCAGGGCTCGATGCAGGTTCGATGCCATCCCGATTGTGCCACTGCAGGTAAACGCGGCGGGTCCAACGCTGACGAACATGCCGGGGCGTGAAGGATCAGCAGGTAATTTTTGCGTCATAAGTCGGTACACAAATGCTGAATATATCGTGAGAGATACCAGGAAGCCGATACCTTGCACGGTGAACCCGCCAACGATCACTTGTAGTGCGTCCGTCGGGTTGTAAAGCTTTGCTGAGAGGTTCGCCGCGTGTGGTCCGATAATCAGCAGAGGATACGCCGGGAAAATCCAGATTGGCGTCATCTGTGCTATGGTGAACGTGAGACTAGACCACTACATACATGTTAGTAAGCCTGTACCGACAATAATGCTGTTCAGAGGTGCCGCGGCTTCGGCGTGCTTAGCCCATCGAGCTGAAACGCGTTGTTCTCTGCGTCTTGATATCGCGATGGCGATGTCGATGCTTGAGCTGGTGCTCATTGCACCGTCAAATTGCGCCAGATTTCATTGGGGAAAGGGACTTACGAGGATCATGTATATTGTGATCGAGAGCGCCATAGCAAGCGCCACATTGATCCAGAACACGACCAATACCGTCTTTGTCAGCCATTGACCTGCGTTGTTTGCCCCATATTCGACGATCGTTATGCATATTGTACCTAAGGAAACGACGAAGGCAGGGACGAAGAGCGACTCTGTGGGATGCACTAGAGATGCTCTAAAGGTCGCCGGATAGCTCACGAATCGGGTGAGAAGCATCGACCATATAACAACATATAGAACGAGGTTGAGGAAGAAGAATATGAGCCCCACGTAATAGAGCCAGTCCGACCGGAAAGGTACTGCATTCGAGATCAGCTTCGCTGGACGACAAGACTCACCAAGCAGGTGGGGAAGCCCTACCGGGCGATGGGCAACATACCGGCATGTAGCACATTTGCAAGACCTCCGGTAGCCATGCACATTGTGAAATAAGCCCACGTGGTATGCTTGACGCGTTCCTTCCATGGGAGATGAACGTCTCGAGCAGTACTTTTACGTCTTGGTTGTTCAGTTGAGCGTCCCGGTTGATTTTCCAGTTTGCGAAATCGATCTATCTGCTCTGTTGTGTTTTGATCTTGAGGAGGAAAGTAAGAGTCGATTCTGCCATTGTTGCTTTGGCGAGTACGCCATAAATTCAACGGATGATTCTCATCTTCTATGGCGGGTGTTCTGTAACCATCCTTATGTTGTTGCCGACTTCGCAATGCAGCATATGGATCGTCCATGCTGCCGAAGATGGATTTGTTGCCTAATCATGTTCACCAAAGTGGCCATCGCTGATTTTTGGGAACAGCTGAAAGCAGTGTTATGTCAACAAGATCATTGTTGCGGCAGTCCCGGCATGTCGTCGTTCAAGTCTGGGTAGTCGCGTCGTCCAAGACAAAATCAAGACCAAAATGCACTAAATGACCGCTGAGTCGTCGTCCCGCACGGATAACTGATGACAATTTGGAGTTTTGTGGGTGTTTTTGACTGTTGGAACACGGAATCAGAAACTTTCAATAGGTCATAGTCAAGTCTTGGTGTAGCTACAGTGCCGCATAGCCGAGCCCCTTCATGACTAAGGAGAGCATCGAAACCTAACTTAGGCTCAACTTTTGTTGTTTGAATAGGTATTGCATTGGGTCAATTTTGCTCGAAAATGTGCGCACACTTCAAAATCCAGACGGGCACGTGGTCTAGGGGTATGATTTTCGCTTCGCATTGGCTCTAGGAGCCTAGAATGCCTGTGAAAGGTCGCGGGTTCAATTCCCGTAGGTTGAATCATCCTTATTACGCTGGTATCAGTTATTGACAATCACCAGGTCGTGTCCAAGAAGTATTCTTTTTTTACTTTTTGCTCGGATAGCGAAACGCACGTCGAAACCTGCTTTTCCCTTTGCGAGTGGCACAGAACAGAGATTACATCGGTTGAAAGAATAGATTACACATCAGAGCTGGCGTGTGTTGCTGGAACGTACATGGGGAGGAAGTTGGGATTTTGCGAGTTGTGGGAGGAGGATGTAAAATAAATTGATACGTAACACCAAGCCGGGAGCAAACACTATGATCATCAGGGGCTTCGCAACTTTTCAAACCCAACGGCAGCTCAGAGCACAAGCCAACTGCATTTTGCAGTCGGCCGGCTGATTGCATGTTTCCACTCGGTTGGGGGGACGTCCTCCATTGCTCAAGGTCTTTGGGACCGACGAGTCCTTACAGTCTCGGTGCCGTACACGCAACATACTTCATTCCAAGCTCTGAACTCGTTGATCCGCCCTCAGACAACTTTCGTCCCCAACCCAATCTCGACTGCACACAGCGATCTACTAAGCCAAACCATCCGGGACAAGCTTGCTGTTTTCCCACAATACCACATGACTCCCGTACAGCCTTCTCTAGGTCAGGTCAAGGCGCGAAGCTGATTTTGCGCGACTTCGACTCAGTATTAGCATCTCCTCTGCAGAGCAAGTCGCCTTTGACTCAGAGGGCCTCCATACAGCTCTTCAAGCTATGTAGGTAAGGAGGAGAACAGCGCCTATCCAAGATCTTGCTCACGATGTCCTGAGCACCACTCTCCTGAGATATCAGCATCCCACATTCGTGTGCTTGACCAGCAGAATCTTTTTGGCTCCCAGCAGCTGTTGGAGATCACGATGGACCTGAGCGAATCTGAAGCCACTGTGCCAGCTTTGTAAGGAACACGTGCATCCCTAGTTCGGTCCTAAATGTAGCGGCAGGATCGATACGTACGTTACGCATGTCAAAGCACGGTGTCTCCTCGCTGGAGTGAGAGCAAGGTCGTCTCGGTTTAAATTGGCAGCATAATTGTCGTTGCTGGATGCTAATTTCTGTTGGATGAGGGTCGTCATGGTGTCATTGGTGATAAGCTGTCAATGTTTCTCTGAAATTTGTTTGCTAGGCGTGGCATGTTGCTGCGACCTATTGTGAGGGGAAGGAGTTCGCGGACTGGCGAGAGGTGGATCAACATTGTTCAGCAACGAAGAAGGGTAGGAGCTGAACGGAGATGCTTGGATTTGCGAACGCGAAAAGCTGTCCGAAAGAGCATCTGCAATGCTAGACAGGAAGGAGGAGGTTGAAGATGCGGACGATTTTCGTGAAGACGACATTCTGTTGTTCGTTGCACAAACCTCCGATCTGTCGATTAGTCTGCAGATGGGAATCACTCGAGCATACTCTCCTTCTGCTACTGCCTCTAGGCATAGGGCGTCTAGCAATATCATATACTTGCACAGAGCGGGAGATGCGACCTGTATGGCGCGAGTTGCACACTTTCATGCGTGCTTTTCCTGAGGAGCTCTCTCATTTGTCATCGTCAGCTGGCGTGCTGCATGTAAGGGCAGACATTGTGCCGATAGCGCCAGAACGCTTATGGCGTGCTTCGTGTTTAGGCTCGTCGTAAGTAATCATTGTGATTCCTAATCTCGGTAGATGAGTGGCTGAGATTCGATCTGTGCTGTCAGCATCTCTATTTGCGCATAGCAGCTCTATATGTTCCTTAGCTCAAGTCCGCACCTTCACGGCAGGCTAAAAGGTCAAGGATAATAAGAGTCGAGGAAGTCATTATTTGCGGAGTCAGCGGATCAAGGAGCATTGGCACCACTAGCACCGATACAAGGGTCCCTGCGGCCTCGGCACGCATGCCAACATCCAGTGTTCCCACCGAGTCTACTAACAACCTGGAGTATCTATTAAAGGTCAAGTTATCGATCATTCCATCACAGTCTCATAGTGGCATGTGGTACACCCTCTACCGTCACAACTAAACCTTCATCACAGAGAATTCTTCTGTTGGCACACTGACCGCAAATGAAGAGATTACTGCGCTTTCCCTTGGAATCCAAGGTCTTAAGAAACCGCGACTCGCTTCGTCCGTTCCATCAACCGACGAAGCCGAGCTGCTGACGGCCTTGGCAACAGCGAGAGCAGAACAGACAGGCCCGAATCTGCCAGGCTCCCACCAGTCCGAGGTTGACATTCTATCGCAGGATCTTGCCTTGTACCGGACGGGGTTAATACTGTGCTGACACCTCCCGTGCTTTTCATGGCCAATTCCACATGGTCAAGGTTAGGATGCTGCTTTGTCGCGAAAGTGCACCAAAAAAGTCCTCATGACAACATCTCGAAAGACAGTCAATGCACCGATTCTGATCTTACAGTGGTTGCCTACTGAGATACACTGGTCACTGTGCACATCGCGTCCTGACTCAGTGAGGCTGTCAACGTGGCTTGGTACTTACTTCTTCAGGCGTAGAGGCAACATGTTGTAAGGTATTAATAGCTAGCTCGATGTGTGTGTCAGTCCCCCTATGAATAAAACCATACGCGGTACTGGTGGCACTGCAATATCCAGACAAAGAGCAACTTGATATCCTGCCTGACAAGCTGAGTCCAGCAATGACCATTGATGGACAAGATGATTCCGCCAGAGCAGTGTCGAATGGCAGAAACAGCTGAAGACCGATCTAATGTATGAGCCTGCCACCTGCCGATACAATGGATCGATTGTTCTTAAGCGCATTTTAGGCAGGTTTGGCGGTCCCTCCGTTGTATCGGTGCTGCCTGACTGTGTACTCATGCGATACGAGTAGTTCTCAGGTCATAACTCGAGATCGCATCGTCGAGGAATCGGCCAGCCCACTGACCAGAGCCCGATCCTTCTGAACATGCCCATGGCTCTAGCTTCCGAACCATAGCACTTTCCCCATTGGTGACCGGTGGCATTTCAACCATTCGTCAGTTCGAATCTTGCATGCAATGCGCTACCGTGCCTTTCAGAGCGGAGGGGCGTGCGAGAGATGGACGACCGCATCGTGACTCGCCCGCTACCGAGGCAGCTAACATCACGTATCACAGCACAAGGTAGCAGTGATCGACAAAGCGTGCCTGAGAGTTGATAAGGAATCACATCCACTTTCTCTATCTGCGAATCGGAGACTGCGACTACGGGAGCCACAGCGGGCTAACAACGTCATTTAGCCTGGTACCTTTTCGAATAAGGCAGGTCACATTCGGTACAAGCATCGTGCCAAATGCTAACAAGCATGTTGCCATGAGCGGCACAAGCTCGACAAGCTCTAGTTGTGGAAACTACAAGCTTCAAAAAGTCAAAATGCTGCCACGATGGCTCAGAACTCACTCCAGCTTGTCTTCCAAACCGGGTGTCTTGTATAGAAACAAGAGAAGGCTAAGGGATTATTTGGAATCTGGCAAGATTTCGGACAGCGTCACTGTACACGTCCAGCTAGCTTAGGACGGCAACAACAGCCAATATGCTTGTAACTACTCTGCTGCTGGCACTAGGAGCCACCTCGGTGCTCGCTGGGCCAGTCACCCGCTCAACGTATGCGGTGAAAGGCTCACATCCTGTTCCAAGAGGATGGCGCGCAACGGAACGTGCGCCCAAGGACCACAAGATGGAGTTGCGCATCGGTCTCACACAAGGCGACTTCAAAGGCCTCGAGAAGCACCTTTTCGAAGCGTCAAACCCACGACACACCAAGTACGGTAATCACTTGTCAGCTGACGATGTGCACCACTTCATCAAGCCATCTGAGGAGGCCTCGAGTGCCGTTCACGAATGGCTGTATGGGAACGGGATCCTAGCAGAAGAAATCGAATATACTCCTGCCAAGGACTGGATCAAGGTCAATTTGCCAGTTTCCGCCGTCGAGAACCTCCTCGAGACAGAATACCACACCTATGTTAGTGAGGATGGCCGAACTGCTGTGAGAACTCCGGAGTGGTCTCTGCCTCGCCACCTGCACGAGCACATCTCTACTATTCAGCCCACAAACTCGTTCTTCGGTCCTCGAGCGCAAGCCAGGATGGAGAAAAGAAAGACAGAGGTACTCATGGATACAGAAGATCTTGCAGAGTACATCCCACCTCCACCAGACGCCGCGACTGTCGCTGAGGTCTGCAACACCACTTGGGTGACTCCAACTTGTCTGCGAACGTTGTACGGCAGCATCGACTATACTCCACAGTCACTGGATAAGAACACCGTGGCGATGAACAACTTCCTAGGCGAGGTCAGCCTCCGTTCTGACACCAAATTATACTTGGAAAACTTCCGCCCGGAAGCACTTGGTGCCGAAAATGAGTACGACATTATCTCCATCAACGGCGGTACGACAGCTCAGACTTTGAATGCCACTCAGCTCGAAGAAGGAACCGGTATCGAAGGTAACCTCGACGACCAGACCATAATTGGCGTATCATGGCCTACACCGCTTGAGGTCTTCTCGACTGGTGGATCACCACCCTTCATGCCAGACATCACGACTCCTGAGAACACCAATGAACCCTACCTTGTATGGCTAGAGTACGTCCTCTCACTGCCAGATCCTCTGCCATCTGTCATCTCAACCTCATACGACGATGATGAGCAGACTGTACCAAAGGACTACGCCATTCAAGTCTGCAACACACTTGCTCAGCTCGGCGCGCGAGGTGTCAGCGTCCTCTTCGCATCTGGCGACGCAGGTGTCGGCGGCAGTGGTGAATGTTATTCCAATGATGGACGCAACGCCAGCACTTTCCTTCCAAACTTCCCCAGCAGTTGCCCATACATCACATCTGTTGGTGGCACTTACAAATTCAACCCAGAGGTTCCTGTCTTCCGCAATCGAACAACTGGTCTGTACACAGCTGGGGGTGGTGTGAGCTACTATTTCGACACACCGGATTACCAGGTCGACGCTCTGAAGTCCTACTTCGCTGAAACTGGTGTTGTCGAGCAGTACGCCGGTCTCTTCAACCCC